ATATATATATATATATATATATATATATATATATATATATATATATATATATATATATATATATATATATATATATATATATATATATATATCAAAATGCATTGAGCACATGCATCACACTTTTCTGATTAGATCAGTCTTCTTATGACCTTGTCAAATTATACTTATTGGTGGCACAAACAGGCTAGTATACAGTAGTATAATAGGTACATTTACTTAAAAACTACTTATTTTGTGTTAATGACTGAAGTAGAATTCCAAATTTCGGTGAATTATCAGAAAAAGTTACTAAACTAAAATTTCTGAATTGAGCAAACTCGTGAACGAGAACCCAGTGAACTGATAAAAACGGAGAAAAAGGTGTGTTTTTCCCTTCAGAGTTGCCCTTTTATATTCAGTGAACAACAACGACGATGAACAGATGAGTTCAAATTGAAGCAATCATTACCAACTCCTGATAAACTATTAAAGCAGCTCAAAATTACTTATTTACGCCTGTTACCTCTCGTGGAGGAGAATAGGCCGCTCACCACCATTCTCCATCCAACCCTGTCTCGGGCTATCCTTTCCAGTTCTTTCTAGTTGCTATTCATTCTTTTCATGTCTGTATTCAATTTTCGATGCAGTATGTTCTTCGGTCTTCCTCTTTTCTGTTTCCCTTCACGATTCCAAGTTAGGGCTTGCTTAGTGATACGGTTAGATGATTTCGTCAATGTGTATCTTATCCACTTCTAACGTCATTTCCTAATTTCCCCTTCATTTGGAAACTGGTTTATAGTCTCTCAAAGTAAAGTATTACTGATGGTATCCAGCCAATGGATATTGAGTATCTTACGTAGAAAATAGTTTATAAATACTTGTTCTAATTTGATAATGGTTCTAGTAGTTCTCCACGCTTCAACTCCGTACGATAGAACTGTATTTATGTTCGTATTGAAGATTTTGACTTTGGTATTGGTTGACAGTTGTTTTAAGTTCTATATGTTCTTCAATTGTGGGAATGCGGCATTTGCTTTGCCAGTTCTCACCTTTACATCTGCATCCGATCCTCCACGTTCATCGATGATGCTGTCTAGGTACGTGAATATTTTCACCTCTTCAATAGTTTCGCCATCAAGTGCGATTGTGTTGGTATTCTCCGTGTTGTACTTTAGGATGTTGCTTTTTCCCTTGTGTATGTTGGGGCTTAGTGATACAGAGGCTGCTGCTACACTGATAATCTTCACCTGCATTTGTTTTGCGTATGCAGAGAAGGGTCAGGTCATCTGCGAAGTCCAAATCTTTTAATTGATTTCGAAATAGAAGTTTATCAATGTCCAGTCCCTCTATAAATAGATTTCCAAAAAGCTTGAAATTCTTATGTTTAGTTTGAAAGTTAACAATAACAATACTAACTTTTATACGATAAGGTCGTTAGTTAGAAATTATCTATTATATAGCTCATAATATAACCCATTGGTCTCACTCGGTTTAAGTGCATATCAGTATTGCTGTCAGAGAGTTAATTGCTACTCTAAAGCAAAATGAGCACAATAGAGAAGATCATCGTATGGGAATAAACAGATTTTTTTAAAATAAGATTTCGAAAGATTACTATCTTCTTAAATCAAATGTATTGTTCAATAATGAGAAAATATGGTCGCTCGACGTAAAACTTTCATGTGGAGTGTAAATTGCTGGAAGATTGTTTTCAATACTATTAAAATCAGTGATCTTAAGGAGTAAGTGATAAGTAATTTCCTAAATTGAGTAGTTATGTAAGCATTTTAAATTGATACTGGTCATATTAGTCATGCAATAGCATTTAATCACGTTGTAGCCTACTGTGGAAGGTTTCGCCTGTTCTAGCTCGTCGGTTCAGAAGTCATAGTTTTTGTTACATCTGCATACGGTTAAATGCATTCTTTATCCAAGCCATCATTTTCTTCTTCCTTTAATAGCTTTAGATTGTTCCGTTAGAAGATACACGGTTATCAGTATTTTCCGATTCTGCCATATCCAAGTTATTTTCTCGAGTTTTAATTTTAAAGAGAAGTTTGTTGTCATGCCAAAGAAATTGGTTCAATTATCTATAAAATGTAGTTTATTATCTCCAAATATAGTATTATTGGTATCAGATATGTAACTAAATATAGAAGTATGCATTTGTTTATATGCATGAAACTACACAGAAACTACCATACTGATATAAGCTTTAACACATTAAAGGAGAAAGGCGAAATAAAAAGGGATATATTTAACTGTGATTTCCAACTTCAAAAAAAGACAACAAAAGTGAGTTTAACTGTACTGATTTACTTTGATTTCAAATATATTACCCAGTTAATGCATTTATTAATCACTGCTTTGTTTGGTATCCAAGTTAACAAGTCTATAATATCATCAATAGATTTGGATATGTCATCAACGGCTCGAGTATTTCATACTATATTTTTTAATTCGGTGTTTCTTGTTCGTCATTGACTTTATATTATATTAAAATTGGTGTATTTCGTGAATGACTATGTCCTAATGATGTTCAAACTATCATAACTGCAAGTTTAATGAAACTACAGTATAAAATATTAACAAAAGAGGCCGTTAAGTAGAACTAAAACAGCGAAGATGAAAAAATTACTAACACCCAAGCATGTACTAGGTTGGAATAGTTTAAAATTGTAGTGCAATATAACAGAATGTACTATCAATCTGTATGTTAGTTTTATCGTAGATATTCGGTGTGGGGTGGCATGTCAGGCTACTGAATAACTCAGAGGAGTTAGGGCGTTTCGGTAGCGTTGAATGACTGAACTGTGATTATCCTTAATTCATTGGACATACAGACACAGCCATGACACAAATAAAGACAGCACTTGCGACAAAACAAAAACAGTTAGTACAAAATGTGAAGAATTAACATTTGGAAGTATTATTGATAGCACTAAATAGACAAATAAAATATTACCTGCAGACGGACCGTAATTTCAACGGAGGATTTCCTAATGAGAATCACACACTATGAATCCCTATGGAAGTTATGGAGGGAATTTAATTGTTTGATCACATATACTATGTTTTCTTTATCATTATCAATAAAGTCGATGAGTGTTATTAAATAATGTTAAGATCAATATCAAACAATATTACCAAAATTTTCAGAAGCTACTACGTACTGTATGAGGCGGAAACTTGGAGAACTACAAAAGCCATCATCTAGGAAATACAGGTGTTTATTAACAGTTGTCTACGCAAAATACTTCGCATCCGTTGACCAGACATTATCAGTAACATCCTACTATGGGAAAGAACAATTCAAATCCCAACGGAGGAAGAAATCAGGAAGAAGCGCTGAAAGTGCATAGAACACACATTGAGGAAAGCACTCAACTGTGTCACAATGCAGGCCCTCACATGGAATCCTGAATGCCAAAGGAGGAGAGGAAAACCAAAGAATACATTACATAGAGAAATGGAGACATACATGAGAAGAATGAACAACAATTGGATAGAACTCGAAATGAATGCCCAGCACAGATTGGGTTGGAGAAATCTGGTCGGTGGTCTATGCTCCACTGAGAGTAACAGGCGTTAGTAAGTAAGTAAATAAGTACGTATGTGAAAATTCAATCAATACAGAATTGAATATCATCTAATTGCTTAGTTTGATTATTTACTCATTAGACTGAAGTCTATATTGGGAGAGTGAGCTTACAAAATAGAAATTCCATGAGAGAGAGATAGAGACAGAGAGAGAGAGAGAGAGTAGAAATAAGTATTTGATGACCTGTCAATCAGTTACAACGTAGGACCAGGCACATACATGCATCAGTCCAAGCTGCCAGACCTCATTAGCACAGCAAGACAAACACCGGATTCATAGAAGCAGTTAACTCAATGGTGTAATATATGAAGGAAAGATTTTTCGTAAGGATATAGTACAGGAAGAAAGAATTAGTTCGTAGATAGAAAGACCCAAAATAATTGACGGTATAAAGTTAGTTCAATGTTCTCATGGTTAATTATTTTTACACTTAAAATTATACTTTAAAAAATTCATTTATTACTTATTCTATGGAATAATTTATGGGGAAAACACTTCTTTCTTTCTTTCTTTCTGAATTTGATAATTTTTATTTATATTTTATTAGAATTTCATAATAGTTTCAATATGTGCAATGTGAATAACTGAACACTTTTATTTGTTCTTCTAAATTAAGAAGCTATTACGATTTAACTTATCTGCGAACGAGAAACAAGACTCAGTGACCAAAGACTAGTAAGCTAGCTATTGATGCGTCTCAGCCCCGCTAACTAAAGAGAAAAGTCCAAGCTTGGAATGGGGAAGTATATTCTACAAACAGCCAGAAACGAGCGATAACAACAAACACAATTCAAAAGTATATATACAGTACAAAACCGTCTTTGGGAAGAGTTACCAAATAGCATACTAAAAGACGCAACAGACCAACAGCATTTAAGATATTTCCCAGTGGGAAATACGACATGAAGGTGACAAGAGCGCTATCGGCGCGAAAACAAAGAAATTCAAATGTTCTAAATAAAGTTACAAAATTAGGTCCTTTTGTTAAGTGAGTTCTGGGGATCTAACGTCCCCAACAATAACCAATACTTTCAAGTCTTATGTTGAATGATTTATTGTTTTTTATTTTTTTTTAAAAAAACAAAAAAATATATTCTCATTACTACAACATAAATCATGATTAATATCTTTCTGTTTTACCAAAAAAATTTATATAACAAATACTTAGCAATTATAGTATTAATTAAATTGAAATTGAATATAAAATAGTTAGATTATTGTTTTTAATAAATACAAGTTAAAATATACACTGAATATTCAATTGTTAACTAGTTTATATGTAATACATCGTATTAAAATATATAACATTTTTGTAAACTTAATGTTGTAAGTGTATTTTCATTTGTCTTACTATCAACTTCATATTTACGTTTTACTAATTTCTTTTACGATTTCTTCGTTATAATCATTTCTCATGAATTCAGTTTTCATCTTTATTATTATTATTATTATTATAATTATTATTATTATTATTATTATTATTATTATTATCATCATCATCATCATCATCATCATCATCATCATCATCATCATCATCATCATCATCATCATCATCATCATCATCATCATCATCATCATCATCATCATCATCATCATCATCATCATCATCATCATCATCATCATCATCATCATCATCATCATCATCGTCGTCGTCGTCTTTTTTGATATCCTCCTCCTCTTCCTCATCATAATCACCATTGATATTTAAGCTTTCCACATCGTTGTTCTCTCTCTTTTTTGATTTCGTAAATATTTTTACCCAAGGAGGTTTATCATTTAATCGATGTGAATAACCTAATTTCCATTCAGATCTCGATCGTAAATATAAAATTTCATCTCTTAGTTGACAAATGATCATTGGCCAACAACAGCCAACTAGGCAGCATAAATCACTTAGACAATTACCTTCCAGTTTATGTTTACGTCGAATTTTCATACGCAGTAATAATATGATAAGCATATGAAATGGCAATAATATGATAGAAAATATAAGCGCTATTAACCATGGTAATGACAATGTATAATGATAAATTTCAGCAATTGCAAATGGACAACAACATAAACAACACCAACAATTACCTGCAAAATACAAGATAATAATTTTATTTAAAAATGCCAACACAGTATATATGAGTGAATTAAATGCTATTACTTATCAGTCTCGCGCGCGAGCGCTTAACCACTAGACCACCAAGCCGGCATCCAACGGTGTTAATGTCTAACTTCATCCAATCCACGAAATTGCGCCACCGTCACCAGTCTCTTCAATGAGCTGATATCTTACAACAAACCTGGCTGAACTCCATTGGTCACGACTTCTCACTGGAACTCCAAGAGTGTCTCTTGAAGTCAGTCACTAGTGAGCAGAAGATTATTATCAGAAGGAATTGACTCATGATTTCAACTATTAAAATTACTACAATCTCAACAAAAACTCTTGTGATAAATGTTATTGTGTAAATATTACTTATTATAGTAAACAAAATGATTCATTTTAATAATTTAAAATTGTGTGAATCAGTAATCACATAAAATCAATATTTTTATAATATTAGTAATAATTTATATTATTAGTATGAACAATTACCTAGTTCAATGTATAGTGAACCTTCCAATATTGTAAGGTTATAAAAATGAAAATGAATTACAAAATTTACTATATGATTCTATGGATTTGACTTGAAACTTTGGTTTGTTGTGAATAATTCTGTATACCTTGTTGTTTACAGTTCAAATTAGAGGTTATTATTTTAATGAAAAGAATATTGTTTTAAGATTTCTTGTTTTAATTATTTTAAAGATAAGTGTTAAAGAAGATTTCAAGTAATGATAAATAGTAGTAGTATTAGTATTAGTAGTAGTGGTAGTAGTAGTAGTAGTAGTAGTAGTGGTAGTAGTAATAGTAGTAGTAATAGTAGTTGTGGTAGTAGTAGTAGTAGTAGTAGTAATAGTAGTAGTAGTATTAGTAGTAGTAATAGTAGTTGTGGTAGTAGTAGTAGTAGTATTAGTAGTAGTGGTAGTGGTAGTGGTAGTATTAGTAGTAGTAGTAGTGGTAGTAGTAGTATAATTTCATTTGAATGTTTGGTGTATATTATTTACCATAAAAGTAATAAAAACATTAAATAAATTTATGCCAACAAAGATATAATCAATCTAAAATTATGTAGATATTAGTGAATAGAAGAACGATTTAGTTAAGATTAAGTTTCATAAATAATTATTAAGAGAAAATGAAAAGAAAAGTAGATTTATCAGAAAGGTTTTTAATAACACCTAGCAACAAAAATATACTCAATTTATATAATAAAGATAAATGTAAGATGTTTAATAACTATTTTGTTTTGAACATTGTATGTAATACTTCTAAAGAGCAATTTAAGCAACATAATGCTTATAACTATAACTTATCTTTCGAAGCTGTTTCATTTTTTTATTTTATTTGAACACATAAATATTGGTACAAGAGAGCGCCAAATATATATGCGCTACACAAAACAATGACAATTCGAAGAGAAAAAGAAGAACAATAACGAACAGATTAGTGTAAGGTAGTGTAATAATAATAGTAATAATGGGGGAAACGGAAAGGTACAATCAGAAGAAATCTTTCAGTTAAGGAAGAGACAACCACTTTTTTATGAAGAAAGTAAAAGAAGGTTACAGCAGGATCGCCAATGGCTTCTATTCTGAACCATATCTGATAACGTCTCTAGCCATTGTGTTGCACCATCTCTCGGACCCCAGCCAGGGTGTCGTGAAGGACCAACAGAAGCCAGCCCTTTGCAGCTTTCTTACATACCACGACACCATGAAAGAAAGCTGCAAAGGGTTGGCTTCTGTTGGTCCTTCGCGACTCGCTGGCTGGGAGTCAAAGTTTTTTGTGATTAACCCAATTACATTTGTATAACTGATATATCTTAATAACTATATAGAGAAAATATCTTCAAAAAAATTACAATAGTTTCAGTTTGAGAGTATAGAAAAAGTAAAACCTGATATATATCACTTTTATAATGATAAAAAAAGCACTGGATAAGTTTTGGAAAAAAAAATAAGACAAGTATTTTGTAGCTGGGAAATGTGAGAATTTTGAACTATTATCACAGGGTAAATTATAACTAACATTACTGTGTTGTTCAAATCATTCTTTACAAATATCACATATAGTCTGCAAAAATAGTTATGAAACATGTTGCATTTATTTTTACTGTAAAAATTGAGTGTTTAGGTATTGAGAGTTATTGGTAATTGTTTATTTGGTTTAATAACCTTATCTATCAAATGGTTTATTTCACTATTTTATCAACTCATAAACCACTTAAATATATATATATATACTACTGATCAACTTCAAACTGAATGTTCCTTTTGAAAAGATGCTGAGATAAGCCTGAAATTGACATAAGTCTAAATCGTTCATTATTGGGACAAGTGAAATGAACTAATCATTTTCATTTTTAACAACTATGTTTTTAATACATTAAATTGTAGCTTGTCAATAGATAACATTTGATATGTTTATTTCACCAACTAAAGCCATAACGACTGAATAGACTGCAATTATACTTTTCCATTATATTTCATAACAGCGCTTAATTTACTTTCTAAACTGACATATATATATGTTAAACCTAGACTACTTCACTGGACTTGTAATAATTTCTATTGCAACAATTATAATATAATAGTCAACGTATATTACATCAGAATATTCTTAATACACTTTGATTTATCAAAATTGGTTAACACTATGAATGAGAAATGTATAACGTATTGGAACTTACTACAATTTTCATAACAAGATACTGAATATGTATTCCACTGTTTATATTTTCTTTCATGATTCATTTGATTTGGTTGACAACAACATCCCATTATTATTCCATTAAATAATGAATTTACAAAGTATTATAAAGTTATTCATATTTAATTAGTACTAACCTGTTTAATCAACTTTCCATATATGATTATCATGTTATAAATTGATTTTTTTTGTATTTAAAATACTAAAATCAATAATCGATCAAACAACCACTGATTAAGTAAATCAGTCTTAATTTATAAATCATTTTGTTAATGTGTATTTGCTTTTAGGTAAAATCGGAGTTTAATCGAATTCGTCTCTTTTTTAAAATAAATTTTGTAACTGTACAACACTAAGAAGAAATTGCTCTAAAAAAAATTAATGGCCAGTTATATTTGGGTGAAATAATTTGAAACGTCGGATCATATTTTTTTTTTTTAAGATGTTTCTAAGTGAAAACTAATAAAAGTCAATCAAATCAAATGTCAAACAAACAAATAAAAAGTTATCATATCACCTCTAACATTAAAATAGATTCAGAATTATAAGGGCAATTTAAAAGTTAAAAAAAGAAGTTATTTTTCCATATTTGAAGAGAATTAGATATTTTATTAACTAGGGCTTGCAAAATTTCGAAATTATCTCCTTGAATTTCGGATTCATTGAAGTTAGACATTAATAACGTTGAATTCTAGTAAAGTTGTCTAAAATTAAACTGGTCTCATGTGAGACTTAACATCTTGGGTTCAACTCCTAAATGTGAGTTTGTGGAGTTCCACTACTAGTATTACATAACCATTCAATCATTCCAGATTTTCAATGATATTTCAATTTGAATCAGTTCAAAATTTCGATAAAATCATCAAATTTAGCGTTTAAAGCCATTTCTACACATTCAATTCTATCTTATTTTATAACACATTATATTTGCAAAAGAATTTCCCATTATTAAAACATATCGTTTATACCTTAATACTACTTAATACTACTGCCAGAATATTTTTGCAATAATATTTCTTATTAGGAATGTATGTGTCACATTATGCTTTGGAAAGTATTTCAGCCTACTTTAATTTGAATACTTTCTATTTTAAGTATATATATATATATATATATATATATATATATATATATATATATATATAAAAGTGAAAATAATTACATTTTATTATTATTGTTTTAATTAATATGAAAATATTTAATTCATTTTTTAAAGTTAAAATGTAATTGTTTAACAAGATAAATTGGAATCCAAAATTTGATTTATCAACAACTATCATTGAATAGATAAGATATGGTTTATGAGGACTATGTTAGTAATGCTATGTTCGTTTATATATTATCTTAGAAACTATGAGTAGTAAATATACTTAAATTGTTATGTTTTTACTATTCTTAAAATATCACTATTCGTAATGATCTGATACCTAAATAGAGCTTAGCAACAGCAGATTTAAAAAAAAGACCTAAAAGAGGTCTCAGACCTGGGTATAGATATGTTAAAGACTAATGCACTACTTAACAGCTTTTAAAACACACGGATTCATAATGACCTTTAAATGTAATAATATTAGTTCATCTTACGACAGAATTCTGCTCCGTCAGCCTAGACATTTAGGAACAGTATTTATGCTGAAGGATGTGCTCAAAATGTATGTGAACCATATTAATGCATTTTACTCGATAACTTATGGTCATTGTCGAGTTTAGTGCGAGCTTTCTTCTAAATTTTTAATATCGCCTAGTGCTTATCAAAGTTGTATGTTCTGCAGCTATGACGTAAGCGAGACATCTTTACGTTAAAAAAGGAATATACTGTACAACAGTTCGCTCTATTTTGTTCGATACTAATGAAGTATATCCTATGAAAGTGGATATTTATAGGCTAAAAGTTTTTGATCGCACTTATCTTTGAAGTGTTACTTGGATATCGTAAAGCAAATAACTGTCCATTACCTAGGCAATGCAGTAAAGTACTAGTCACATGTAACAAGTTAATTTTTGACCCGAGTATGAGTAGATTGGAAGAAAGCTAAGAGGAGCTAAACTTGATATTCGTGTATGAAAGTCATAAACAGTTTGATCTAGATCATATTGGTATTTAGAGACTACCCCTGGATAGAGGTCTACACGGTAACTACGAAAAGCAAGATTCTCCGTTGCAACAATCGGATCACACTTGACGGTGAAGATTTGGAAGATGTAAAAACCTTTACATATTCGGACAGCATTATTGATGAACACGGTGGATCAGATACAGATGTGAATGCGCGGATCGGCAAAGCAATAGCAACATATTTACAACTGAAGAACATCTGGAACTCAAAACATCTATCAACCAACATCAAAGTCAGAATTTCCAATACAAAT